ACTGCTCTTCCATCCGGGTTCCTGGCTTTTATCCCCTTTCTCCTGCTTTTCTGTCCTGCTGCTTTGGGTGGCCCTGAGTTTCCTCTCCTCACCTAATCCCTTCAGCTGATTGCTCTTCTCTCCGGGTTCCTGGCTTTTAATCCCCTTTCTCCTGTTCTTCCGGCCTGCTGCTTTGGGTGTCCCTGAGTTGTCTCTCCTTACCTGTATCCCTGGGGCTGACTGCTCTTCTGTCCGAGTTCCTGGCTTTTATCCCCTTTCTCCTGCTCTTCCGGCCTGCTGCTTTGGGCATCCCTGAGTTGTCTCTCCTCACCTATAACCCTGGGGCTGATATTAGTTATCTGAAATGCTCACTTTTAGTTCTGTCATTCTGACAAATATTTCTACCCAACTGCTTCAAAATTATTAAACATGGGAAGCTAGCAGATCGGTATCAAAATGTTTGTCTATCAGAGTTGGATGCTTACAGCCAACATCCAGAGTTATCTTGCCAGTTGCTCTTCCAGCTTCATTGATGGCTACACATGTATAATCGCCAGCATCCAGATCTTGTGTTTCTTGGATCTTCAAAAGTCCCAAAAGAGGGTCAATAATAAGGAATGTTGAGGGCCTCAACTCAAGATCCCCTAAGTCAAAACAAAGGGAAGAACATTAAACATTAAAGTATGTACATAGTATTAACACAGTAAATTAAACACTAATATATTTACAAATTATTTACATTGACACTGCTACTGGTTTAATTTCAAAATTTCTGAATAAATTGGACTGCAACTTCAATACAGGTTTCATGTGTAAAGTAGACACTTAACTTTTAAGCAATGAAGAGAATTGTTTATTGGCATTGAGCTGATTTATTAGTCTAGATAATTATACAAGCTAATCTACAGCCAAAATTCTGGCCCTAAAATGAATTTTGCACAAATATTTCTAAATTTATATGTACCTAAGTAAGAATAACCTATTTGAAGCTACACTGGGGGACTGGGAAATGGTGGCAATTATAGCAACGGCTGTGTTAGGTAAGAAGTGAATGGGGAGAAGAAGATTGAAAACAGGTTTGTATCTTCTCTTTGTGGCAGAATGAATGTCAGTTACCCAGAGACTGCTTGAGAGACAAGAGATGTTCTCAGTTCGGCTAATGACCATGTTTTCAGTTGCTGAATCCTCCCGTTACATTTTGTTTTATGAAAGGTGTACACTGGCTGAAAGGGAAAGTATGGGTGAAGAACTTCCAATAATGGTAAGAGGGCTTTGTTATATGAATCTCCCAGGATATGACCACTGAAATATGTAGTATTCATCAAAGCTTTTGAGTTGGAGATATGGGCTTTTGAATGTGTGCGTGTAGGGGGATGTGGTTACCTAGCGGGTAAGTGTGCAGAGATGGAAATTTTACTTCAATATGAGAAAAAGATGACTCAAGAAAGGTGAGTTTTGATGAGTTACCTGTATATGTTTTATTTCCCTGCAGCACCTCAAATTCCCTCAGAAACACTTTTATTTGAAGGCAAACAATGTCTCAGCAAAGCTGTAAATTAAATCAGCCTTCTTTTTATCCTGCCCCTTCCTCCAGTGGTGTCTCCTCGCCAAAGAATGAAATTAACCAGGATGACAAGTATTATAATAAGTACATAGACCTGGATGTTTAATGGCTGCTCAATGTCCACAACTTTTTTGTTTGCTTTTGTGAAGTGTGATAGAGAATATATGGAGTTCCTCAAAACTTCCAGGAAGTTTGAGAACCATTGCTCTTGGAGTTTCGCAGTATTCCCAGATGTCAAGTTTAAAATGATATACTCAAAATCCTACACATTAGCCACGTGACTTAGGTCTGATGCCCATAGAAGCAGTTTGTACAGCTTCTGATGAGCAAACGGAATCCCAAAACCAAATCCATATCACAGAGTTGATTCCAACTCACAGTCACCCTATAGGTCAGAGTAGAACTGCACCACAGGGTTCACAAGGAGCTCTCGTAGCGTAGTGCCTAAGGCACTTGACTGCTAACCAGAAGGCTGGCAGTTCATACTCACCAGCCATTCCTCAGAAGGAAGGTTGGGCAATCTACTTCTGTAGTGATACCACCTCGGAAATCCAAGGAGCAGTCGCTATGAGCAGGGTCCCAGTTGAGGGCACATAACAACAATAATCTTTACAAAGCAGAGTGCCACATCTTTCACCCATGGAGTGTCTGGTAGGCTCAAACTGCCAATCTTTCAGTTAGCAGACAAGCACTTAACCACTGTGCCACCAGGGCTTCTGGTAAAGAGAACCCTAACTCAGGAACTAGTAATTCTCTGGGACAGAACAAGAAGCACCACCGAGGCAACAGACACTTTATTGTTTTTATATTTTTGGAAGGAAAAGAGGTCAAAAGAACTCTAAATTAAAAAGAAATTACATTAACAACCAACTGACAGTGCCAAAAACAAAGTATTTTTCAGCATTCCAATATTTAAAATCCCAACCATTCTTTAAAGCTTGCTACTACATACCATGCGAGAATGAGAGAAGCAACTGGAGCTGAGTCTATGTGCCTCTGGGAAATTTTCATAAATAAAAGCAGATGATGTTGACATAAACTTTCCTCCCACCAAGGGAGGATGCAATGTGACCTAGCTGTTCATCAAGAATTAAAATGTTTGGACTAAAGTGCACTTAGATTTTTGGAATTTACTTATCCTTGATTTTTTTCTGTATATGTCAGAAGACATAATAGAATGAAAAAAAGACATTTTTGTGAGTAATTTTTATAATTAAAATGTTAAAAAATATTTCAAGAATATAGTAAAGAAACAGATTATAAATTGAAATAAACTAATTCAGTCAAATTCACATTTTGATCACATTTTGATAGTCTCTCCTTTCTTTATTTTCACTAAAAAGTTAGTCATCAAATTATTGAGGAAACCCTAGAAAAATACAGAATCTTTGAGATAAAAATTAAATAGGGACACTTAGTTTTAATCTAGGGAGTTCTGGTGGCGTAGTGCCTAAGGTATTTGACTGCTAACCAGAAGACTGGAGGTTCAAACCTAGCAACCACTCCTCGGAAGGAAGGTTGGGCAATCTACTTCCATAGTGATATTGCCTCAGAAACCCCACAAGGGATTGCTATGAGTCAGATCCAACTTGATGGCAGTGAGTTTGGTTTGGAGCTTAATTTTAATCTAATTCCTATATTAGATATTAAGATTAGTAATGTATAATAAAATAAATAAAGTTTTCTGAAAAATTGTGGAACTTAACAATTGTTCCCAGTGGTGAGGTTAGTGTAGTTTCAATTCAGTCCTTGGTAGATAAAGAGACTAACACAGACATCATTATGCCTGGCACAAGATTCTTTTTAAGAGCTGATGGTAATTAAGTGGTTCTCAAACTTTTTTACCTCGAGACCCCTTTACACTCCTAAAAATTATTGGGGACCCCAGTGAGTTTTTGTTTATATGGACTATGTTTATTTATATTTGGAACTTTAAAAATTAGATGAGAAACTTAAAAACACATATTAATTTATTTTAAAATAACACAAACTCATAACATTTTAGTGTAATGAACATAGTTTATGAAACATAACTGTGTTTTCAAAAAGGAGAGGAATTAAATGTAAAGATTGGTATTGTTTCACATCTTTACAAATATCCAGAATGTCTACCTCAACAGAAGACAATCGAGTGCTCACACTTGCATCTGTATTCACTCTGTTGGATATCACGCATCGCACAGTGTATACTATACACCAGTAAGATGAAAGTGAAAAAGACAAACAGCATCTTAGTGTTGTTATAAAAATAGTTTTGACCTCATGATTTGACCCCCAAAATTCCCAGACCACACTCTGTGAGCCACTCAATTTCTTTAACATTTCACCACAAATGTCCTTTTCCTAAAATTTTAATAGTGTTCTTGATTTTCCTTTGAACCCATTTTATGTTGTTCATTTCTAAAAAGGAAAGACCGACAAATTTTAGTGAGCTTTTGTACTTACTGAATTCCTTTCCTGTGATGGTCTGAATAAAATATAGTTTATTAATATAGTTTTCTTTTAAACACCCACTTAATTCAATATTAATCTGCTCCAGAAAAGTATGAGGGAAAATTTATTTTATGATCAGGGCATGAATATTCTTTTTCATCTCTTTCCATGAGGAAGGATTTTTGTAGCCCTCCTGGCTTCTTGTTCCCACACTGAGGTGGAAGAGGAAGGCCAATCTGCTTCCTACCACTTTCTCTTTGGAGAAACCTGCATGGAGGAGAGTTTGTCCCCGGGTTTTGCTCTACGTAGTCCAGGCTCTGCTCTTGTGGTAAGTTGCCCACAAGTGACTAGAAGGGTGGTACTTGTTAAGGTATTTGGCTGCTAACTAAAAGGTCAGTGGTTCAAACTTATTAGCTGCTCTGTGGTAGAAAGTGAGGTAATCTGCTTCTGTAAGGATTTACAGCCTTGGAAACCACTTGGGGCTCCCTATGAGTTGGAATCAACTCAATGGCAGTGAGTTTGGCTTTTGGTTTTCTAGGTTTTGAATAGATCTTGCTCATAAACATCAGGAAAATTTCCTCCAATATGGTCTGTAAGTATCTAATGCCCAAATTCTATCTCTGTTGGTTTATAACTCAGAGATGGAAATGGGATGTTATTTACTGGGCCACTTGAACTCTAACATCTGTGGTTGAGAGAAGAGAGCAACAAGGAGTCAATTCCAGAATCTTCCAAGTAGTGATTGTCAAGAGAGGCAATTTTCCCGTAGTTTCCAAACCATCTGTGGGAGTAGGCTGCCATGAAGGCTAACTTCTTGAGGAAAGCTACAATTTGGGAGAATAAAAGACTGTGTGACTCTGCTAGATGCAAGCAGAGATCTCAGAATGCGCCATTGATTTTTGAATTCTTATTTTCTACATAAACTATCGACTGACATTTGAGAAAAATACTGCCTCTGTAACATTTTTTTTCTGGATCTATTTTATTATAATGTAAATTTGCAATTGATACATATTTCATTTCTAATTCAAAGGTTTAAGCATTCTGAATAAGTAAAAAGGAGTTTATAGTAACTGAAATAAACCCGATTAAATAGCAAATAAAAAAAAAATGTTTTCTTACCAGAGAAAACAGGAAGATTAAAAAGTGTTTAACATGGAAAACCACAAAATGGCATTAACTCCTAGTTTTCCTTACTATATTTGATCTGCATTATGAAAAATTATTTGTTTTCCACATAAAGCACTTCATTTTCACCTCATGTTCCCCACAAATTTGAACTCGAGGTGAATTCATAATTTTGTGATTATGACATCAACCCGTTGCTATGGGAATGTCTGCGATTTAACAAACAGAATCATAACAATAGTGCTTTGTACTACTTAGTGTTTTTCATCTGAAGATTAAAAAGTATTTTGCAAACAGAATCTCAATAATCCTAGCAACCTTCCTATTAGGGTGTTTGTGGGAATTGTTCTTTCTCATAAATTGGAAGAAGTTAGACAGAAGCAGAAGCAGGGCTCTTTACACAGATCCCTACTGTCAGCAACGGCCAGGACCAAGATCCAAGTGTATTCTCACTAAGATCAAGTGGTCTATTACTGTTATTTTATTATAGAATCACAGAGGTATAATTTTTCTGTAAGGGAAGATATGTAGATAGTGCCTATACTTGATACAAGCCTCTGCCATGCATGATAAAACTGACCCTGGAATGCATTTGTGCTTCTCTGCCTGTAAGCTTCAAGGTGTCTTTATCTGAGCACTTTATAGGAAGCATCTTGAGAATCTAGAAAACTTTCTAATGGTGAGAGCCATCTTCTTTCTCTAAGCAAGGTGAACTGAAATCAATGGAGCCTACCTTAAAGGTTAACTAAGTATTCTTGGAAACTTTTCTACAGGAAACAATCCTAAACTAACAAAGAGAATGTTCAGCTGGATTAGCAAAGATGGACTTTTCCTTCCCTGACTTTCATAGTTTTGTAATCCACACCAGATGTCAAATTCTGAAATTTAGAGTTTAGAATTTTGAGTTATTGTCCCCAGTGAGACCATAAACACATTTTATGGGACTGCTAAGTCACACACCAAAACAAATTTTTAACAAATCATTTTTTTCAAAAAAAAAAAAACAAAACTAAGTGAACCTGACATGGATACACTTAAAAACATACCTTTGAACCATTTAACTTGAGGTGGGGGAACACCAGAGGTTTTACATTCCATGACTGTTGTGTCCCCTAGGGAAACCAAGAGCTCACTCTGAACAACCATTAATTTGGGGGCTTCTGAAAAAACAAACATGCAAATAGTCAATGCCTAGCACAATACCACATGCAATCTGTTTATGTTTACTAAATGAACCAATAAAAAATAATCTCTCACAATCTATGTGCTTGTAGCTATTTCAATATTTATAAACAGAAGGGAGCTCTTGTAACTCACATGAACATGGCTGTGTATGATGAAAAGATCATTTATGAAGGCCAAAAAAAAGCATATTAGGCAAAAATAATGAAAAAAAAGCATACATAATCTTGGAAAGTTGAAAACATCTTCTAAAAGCAATACTCAAGGAACAAAAAAGAGAGGTCATGATAATAATAATAGAAATATAATCAAAAGAGGGATGATGATAAGACTGATTTGGCTAAATTAAGATTTGAGGATAAAACAATTGCCAATGAATTTGTTTATAGCATTTTCTACCTGATATTAAGAATATTCATACCTAATTACAGACTGATACTTACAGTCTAAGGTTAAAAATTTCATCTATTGGGGGGAAAAAAAAACTCTGGTTTTGACTTTGCTTTTCCCTTTGATCCTATATGCAGACATTCCCTCTGTTTCCTTCCTTAGCTCTGTTTGCTTGGTCCTTGTCCTAATGCTTTATTCACTCACACATTTTTCTCAACTGGACATTTCAGGACTTCCTAACGTCCACTGAGGTAGTTTTAAACCAGGGCTTCCAATCAGTTCATTCTTATCTTCAGGGATCTTGTTGAATTGTAAATTCTAATTCAATATATATGGAGTAGATATAAAAATTCTCAGCATGGGATCATACCGGAATGAACTAGTTCAAAGCATTGTTTCAAACAACACCAAGAGTTAACTTCTCAGATATCATGTCATTCCTTTCCTTGAAAATCTTCAGTGATTCCCTATTGCTTTCAGAATACAGCCCAAATGCCTTACTTGGGCTAAAAAAAAAAAAAAAAAAAATCACAGATTGGTCTATGACTTTTTTGTCATACTTTCCATTATTACATTGTCTCACTTATCACATGGTATAAGCCAAAATCAAACCAGTTGCCATCAAGCAGTTCTGACTCTGGCGACCCCATGTGTTTCAGATTAGACTACACTCCATAGGGTTTTCAACAGCTGTGATCTTTTGGAAGGAGTTCTTTGGTGGCACAAACTGTTAAGCACAGAGCTACTAAGTGAAAGGTTGGCAGTTCAAACCCACCCGGTAGATGCCTTGGAAAATGGACCTGATGATCTGCTTCTGAAAGGCCACAGCCTTGAAAACCCTGTGGAGTACAGTTCTGCTTTGTACACATGATGTCGCCATGAATCAGAACTGACTTGAGGGTAACAAGTGTGTGAGTGTGTATGTGTGTGACATTTTGGAAGCAGATAGCTAGGCCTTTATCACAAGGTATTATTATTGTTGTTAGTTGCTACCAAGCAAATTCTGACTCATGGAGAACCCTTGGACGTAAAGTAGAACTATAGGATTTTCAAAGCTGTGACCTTTCAGTAGCAGATTGCCAGGTCTCTCTTCCGTGGCACCTCTGGGTGGGTTCAACCATGAATTGCTCAGCTGGTAGTGAAGCAAGCTACATAAATTGCCCAAAACATGCCCTACTCTCTTATCTCTTTCTGCCTTTGCTAAAGCTGTTTCCTTTACCACAACTCTTCAAATCCCATTCATTCTTTTAGACTGATTTTAAATCCTCTCCTTTGACAAATATTTGAAAATTCTACAGTTAGAATAAATCTTCCCTTCTGCTCATGTTCCACCATAGTACTTGTCTCTCTGACTTGTTATATTCTTTTGTTTCAACTGCCATTATACAAGTTTCTAGAAGGTGAGGACTATGTGCCATTTTTTATTGTATAACTGCCATTATACAAGTTTCTAGAAGGTGAGGATTATGTGCTGCAGCACAGCATTTTGCACACTCTGGTTACTTACAAATTAAATAAATGTGCTGTGTATTTTGGCTTCTATGTGAATGCCCAATTTGTTTCTCCAATGTACAGGTCTGTGTCAGTCACTCATTCCATATTCATAACTGTCTATTCCCTCTCTACCTGGGGGTTCTGGCAACATTTTTAATTCCGTTATCTCTCAGTTGGAGCCCATCTTCCCTTCTCAACTTATTCTCTATGCCACCTCCCTTATTTGTATAAGTGACACTATTTCTTTCCCAGCTCCCAGGTTCAAAACTTGTGACACTGTCATTTCCTCCCTAATCTGTCCACTTCAAATCCAGTCATCTACCTTCACAATGGTTCTTGATACACACTATCCTCTCCACTGCCAGTTTCACGTCGTTATCGTGAGTGAATGGAGAATAAGCGTGAGTGACAGGGTGGAGTGCTAGTCATTAATTATTCACAATTCACAAACTAACATCAGTTTATAGCGCCTTTACCCTTATTTGACTGAGAAAGAACAAATTAAACAGAAACGTTCTATAGAATAATTGCCATGAAGTAGATCTTCAATAAATGTTCGAGTGTGGAAGGTAAAAAATGGAAGGTGAAAAATGAAAATAATACGTAAACAAGATAAATGACAGAAACAGTTGTGACTATAAATGAGAAATGTAAAATAGAAGTTGAGGTAAACTAGAAAGGATATAGAATTTACTAATTTAAAAGTTAAATATTGTTGAGAACAGATGAATCACAGAAGGCAAAACTCTGTACACAATCTGGAACTCTTATAAACTGAAAACTTCCTTGATTCTTGTTGACTAAAGAAAATATTTACTCCTTGAACTTTTAACTTAAATTAGTTATGAATATTTGTTTTAATCAATATGTGAAGTAGATAATTAAGTTATAATACTGTACATAAATCTTCTCTAATATTATTTTTCAGAATAACATTTTTACATGGTATTCATCCTGTTTAAATTATCTTTTAAACTGATAATACTTGCCAATATATCTAAGTATAGATGACTGTTTATCTGTTCCAGCTGAATTACTTGCCAAGCAGCCATATATTCCTGCATCTTTAGGAACTGCATTTTTGATAAGTAAAGTACCATCTGAGGTCATCCTATACCTATGAATAATAAACAAAAAGAAATAAAATTGAAAATACTATTACGATAGCATCAAGATGACACAGAACTTTCCTTTCAAATATCTTCAGAGATTTCAAAGTTATAATGTTGGTATTCATTACAGAAGTGATTAGCATCGTCATTTTGCAAACAGAGATATGATAATAATAATAGCTAATATGCATCTAGTACTTGCTGTGTGCTAGGGATTGTTCTAGAAGTTTTTAATTGATTAATATTTTAACCTCCATAATAACCCAATAAATACAATGGTATTATGATCTCTCTTTAATAGATAAGCAAAGAGGTTACATAACTTGTCCAAAGTCAGGATTAATAAATAAAAGAAATGGAATTTGGATCCAGGCAATCTTGTTCTATGTGGTGAACTGCTATGATAAACTATTCCTCAAAATGAAAACCGTAGGGATGAAATGTCTCATGTCGTACAGTGAGTCAGTGATGAGTGAGTCTCGGAATAGAATCTGGCTCAATTTGCTGGATCATACCTAAGCCTTCCTCTTCCTGCCAAACCCAGAGTAATGGAAGCCCGATGGTTGGAAACTTTGGTGTTTATGTTCCACATGTTTGTTACACACTTTGAGTATAAAAGGATTCACTGTCTTTAAAAAGCATCCAGAAGAATAAAGTACCTCTCAAAGTAGTATAACAAAAGCGAACAGTAGTTAAAAAAATGTCTCTACTCACTTTAATCAAAGCTACTGTCATGTCCTTTGCCTCTCCCTCTCTCTTCAGCTAAATTCTAAAACCATTCCTTTATTAGATTTGTTAAAGCTACACATTTCTTTTCTTCACTGAGTATTTATTACCTCCATTTTACTTATCCAAGGTAAACCAAGTGTTACAGTGTTATGATGTACGACTCAACATATTGGGGAGTACTTAGCTCCAGCTATTGGATGCAAATTAATAACCACAAACTCCATAAATTTATTATTTATTATTTTATTTGACATTTCCTGGCCCATTAGCAAATGTAAAGCTGTGGGTTTTGGTCAAATCTCACTTAATCTTAGGGACTTGGTCAGATTAGTTTTGTCTGGAAATTTCATCAGTTTCTCTCATTCAACAAAAACAAGGAACATGATACAAACCCAGTACCTGTGTGAACCCACGATAAACATATTATTCATGGTCCAGGCGATTTTTGGTTTGGGATAACCTGTTGTGGAACACATGATGGAGACCTCAGACCCTCCTGTGAAAGACTGATTCTTGGGCATCACAGTGACTTTGGGTGGTTCTGCAAATAAAAAGAGAACAATGTGTCAGAACCTAGCATTAAGAGCTTCCTCTGTTAGCACATTTGCAGTCTTCTCATCACCACACATTTAGTGCCTTTTCTCTATAATGACCTTACCAGGGATCTGGCCCTTCCTGTGCAGGAGGGAAAACAAAAGTAACAAAAGCAGCATAAACTCTGAGAATAAAATGAATTTTATCCTAATGCCATGTTTCTGTGTCTCCACTGATGACCATGTGTTTCCTTGTTTCCCCAAGCTGAACACTGGATTCTGCTTGCAAACTTCAATATAAACCTGTTTCCAGGTCAAGTCTCTAAATAGAGCCTTTGACTCTTTATGGACAATGAACACAGGGCTAAAGCCACAACTTGTCCTGACTGTGCTATCTGCTTTGTTTGGACTAACCTTTCTCTTTTTATTTACTGGATTATAAATGTGTTGGGGTAGGAGAACATGTCTTTCATATTATTCTATATTCCACTACATTCCATAGAATTTAACATTCCTTGAATGTTATACAGTGGCTTGCATTTATGGAATGCAGGCCATGAGCTATAACTTGGCCCTGTCCTAATACCTACCACTCCCTCAAGATCCTGCAGTACTAAGCACTCGATACATAGGACTTTGACATAACAAGAAATATCAATTATCAAAACTTCCTAATGCATTATAAAAAAAGAGAGAGAGAGACTTCTGAAAAGAAAACACTAGATCAAGAATCAAAAAACAAAACTATCAGGAATCTATTGTCAAAAAGAAAATAAAACTTCTCTGGGACAAACCTGGGATGTAGATATATTTGGCCTAATCAATTACACATTTTACATCTACATTACTACACAGGAGGAAAGAATTAAATGATTAGGGATATTAAATGATTTCCTTAATGTAAATATTCTCGATCAACTAAAATAATGATAATAAATTCATTTCAACAATGTTTGAAACAGATTCTATAATATTAACAGAATTAAATTAATACATTCAAAAATACATGTTTTGTTGCTGTTGTTGCTCAGTGATCATGTGTCAGGCACTGTGCTAAATTCTAGGGATACACTCATGAGCCCAACTAACATGGGGCTTGCTTTTCCATTTCTTACATTTTTACTGTAAGTAAAATTGTGAAAAGCAATTAGTCAGTGAGATCGGGATATATTTATAATGTATTCTCACTATAATTTAGTCAGCAAATGATATTTTAGTTTCACTAAGAAAAATCAGTGTGAGGAATCTTCAGACATTTGAAAGAGATATAATTGGCACTGCTGGACAACAGCAGCTACAAAACCAAATGAACCAAATTAGTGTTTAATCACTAGCATCTTACAATCTCTCCCCCTCTTTTTTCCTGTTTACACTATGTTTCTCAAATTATGAAGATCTAGTCTTTGAAGTTAACGTTTTAAAGATTTTTCCAGCCTGAGGACCTCGTTGATACCCTCATTATCCCATGGATCCTTCTTGGTGAACATAGAGCTAAGGAAATGTGAGAGGTCAAAGGCAGATTATCCACGGCCAGTGCATTCAAATTGTGATTCCACCTGGAATCCATCAATCTTAAAATACTGAGAGGATGACTCACGCTTTGAAGGTTTTGCAGAGAATCTTCAGGACATGGGGAGGAAGAGGGAATATTTCTTTCTCTTTAGCATGTATTGAATACCCACCTCTATCATAAAAAGTGTTTCTCATGTCTAGCTCATACTGACATAAGATTGCTGAAAAAATTCAGGTAGGTTTTAGGATTTCATCTAAACATGATGCCTTCCAAAAGAGTCTGCCAGAGGTGGCCTGGCATCTCTCCCAGCAAGGTTCCCACTGGTAGGCTCTGAAGTTTAGATAGCAAAGTGAAAGTTAATGTCAGTTACCCAAACCAGGATGCAGAGGGCTAAGAGGTCATTTAGCAAATAAAGCCTGGATATAGGGTGTTGCTTGAGGTCATGAAATAAGTCTATTTGCAAAACACAGATGGGATGACATCATCTTACAGAAGGTGAGAAATCTACCGTTGCCATACAAAGAATATTCCTGCTGATGATAAGAAAAGCAGAAAGGAGATGAATAAACATAGAGAAGAAAAACTGGATTCCCACCAAATAACAGCTGAATAAAGATGGTCAAAATGATTTAGCCTTTACTTGATTAGGTTAAATAAGAATACAATAGACCTTACCTTATTTGTTTCAACTGCTAATTTTTTTTAGCACATTTTTTTTTAAAAAAAGATTCTCTTATTCATTTGTCAAAGTTCACAACAGGACTGACCAATGCAAGGAGTGAACCCTAGTGTAAACTACAGACTTTAATTAATAATCATGTAATAATAGTGTTTCATTGATTGCAACAAATGTACCACATGAATGTAAAATATTAATAATTTAATAACAGAAACAGTGTACAGGGGTGGTTGGGAGGAAAAGAGTATATGGCAATTTTATGTAAACTCAATAATAAAACTACTCTAAAAAGTATATTTTAACATATTCCTCCTGTTTTAATAGAGTAAGAATGTGAAATTGAAATAGTTCAACTCCATCAATAAAGTGAATTCATTTGCCCACGAGCAAACCTAATCTAAATCTCTTGATTTATAATGGTATTATTAGCTGGAAAATACAGTGCTAAAATTACACATAGAAGGCAGGAGTCCAATTTTAGGCTTGCAGAGAAGTGATCCATTTTTCCAGTTGCTTTCCAGGCTCATTTCATCATCATCATCATCACCATCATCACCACTAATATCACCACCGCCATCAACCATCAATACCACCATCATCCAAAACAATTTGCTTTACATTAGCCAAAATAATGTGAACATTATACTCTTTTAGGCAAATATTATATTTGTTTTTTATATTTTAAGTATATAAAAATATAAAACACAGAATTTCTGTAATTTCTCACCAATGACTTAAAAGTATTCAATAAACATTATATGATAAGAAGAATCAAAAATAAACATTATTTTAAGAGTTAAGTGTCTAAACACACTGTTAATGGTAAACAGTAAAAATAGAGGATTTTAAGTGGCCAGTAGTGACAGCCACCTTCACTCGCCTGAAAAGACTTAAAAAACAAGCAAATAACAAAAACAAACAAACACATTACTTGGAGTTGATTTTGACACATGGTGACCCCACATGTGTCAGACTAGAACTGCATCATTGTGTTGTCAATGGCTGTAATGTTACAGAAAGGAGCTCTGGTGGTACAGTGCCTAAGGCATTTGACTGCCAACTAGAAGGTTGGTGGTTCAAACCCACCAGCTGCTCCGTGGAAGGAAGATGGGGCAATCTACTTCCATAAAGATTTACTGCCTCAGAAACCCAATAGGGGTTGCTATGAGTCAGAATCAACTCAATGGCAGTGAGGTATTTTTTATTATTATTATTTAATCTTAAGTAAGTTGATCACCAGGCCTTTCTTTTGTGGCCCTGTTAGGTGGATTCAAACTCCCAACCCTTTGGTTAGTAGCCCAGGACAAACCATTTGCACCACCTAGGGACCTCCTGCAAAAACTAAGGAAGATGGAATCCTGCTTAACTCCCTTGGAAATTAATACCATCATGACTTCACCTCCAGAGGCATATTTCCTATTAGCAATAACTTGGATCTGATTTATCATTGCTGTGCTTCTGGTAGGAAAGACAAAGGCATACGGACTTTCTCTTCAAGGTGATTTAATTGCAAGCAACAAATTAGTGAGATAATGTTAGTGTTTTTAATTACCTAAGCAACAATTTACACTACTACTCACCACTGGCATATTTAGAGCACCCTGGCAAATTTCTGTGTGTTCTCATCATTCAACAAGTATTTATCTAAACCACTACACTTCAGACACTATGTAAATGTAGGGACTAAATCTCTACTTCTAGTAGTCATAGCACTGAAATAAGAAGGTGGACTAATGTTTGAGTTCCTCTTAGGTGCTACCACTCATCTATCAATTTGTTGTACTGTGATAGCTTGTATGTTGCTGTGATGATCAAAGCTATGCCCCTGGTATTGGTATTTCAAGTTCTAGCAGGTTCATCCATGGTAGACAGGTTTCAGTGGAGCATCCAGTCTAAGCAGACTAGGAAGAAGGACCTGGAAGTCTACTTTTAAAAAACTGGCCAGTGAAAACCTTATGAATAGCAGTGGAACAATGTCTGATACAGTGCTGGAAGGTGAGCTACTCAGGTTGGAAGGCACTCAAAATCTGATTGGCAAGAGCTTCTTTCTCAAAGTAAAGTTAAACTTAATAATGTAGATGGAGTGAAGCTTTCAGAACCTTCATTTACTGATGTGGCATGACTCAAAATGAAGAGAAACAACTCCGAAATTTGCTCTTGAATGTACAGTAACTAAAGCAAATGGAAAAATGTTAAAGTAAAATGATTTCAAAGGGCAGCTTGAAAAACAAAGTAAAGCATTATAAAGAAATGTGCAAACGTTTGGAGTTAGAAAAACAAAGAGGAAGAAAATGATAGGCATTTCTCAAGTGGAAAAAACTGAAGAAAAAAAAAATCAAGCCTCAAGTTGCAATGCTGAAAGATTCTATGGGCAAAATATTGAACGACTCTGAAAACATCAAAAGAAGATGGAAGGAATACATAGTCACTTAACCAAAAGGAACTGGTTGATGTTCAAACATTTCAGGAGGGAACATATGACCAAGAACCAATGGTACTGAAGGAAGAAGTCCAAGTTGAATTGAAGGAATTGGTGAAAAACAAGCCTCCAAGAATGCATATTGAGATGTTTCAACAAATGGATACAATGCTGGAAGTGCTCACTTATCTTTGCCAAGAAATTTAGAAGATAGCTACCTCACCAATAGATTGGAAGGGATCTGTATTTATGCCCATTCCAAAGAAAGGTGATCTAACAGAATGCAGAAATTATCAAATTATATCATTAATATCATGTTGTTGTTATGTGCCCTGGAGTCGAACTCAACTCATAGCTGTTTGGGTTTCTGAGGCAGTATCACTACAGAAGTAGAATG